TTCCAGTGTAGAGCACAATTTTTCAGTTATACATGAACATACATATATTCATTGTCACTTTTTTTCTCTGTGAGCTACCATAAGATCTTGTGTATATTTATTTCCCTGTGCTATACAGTATAATCTTGTTTATCTGTTCTACAATTTTGAAATCCCGTCTATCCCTTCCCACCCTCCGTCCTCTTGGCAATCACAAGTTTGTATTCTGTGTCTATGAGCCTGTTTCTGTTTTTCGTGTTTATGCTTTGTTTGTTTTTTTAGATTCCACATATGAGCGATCTCATATGGTATTATTCTTTCCCTTTCTGGCTTACTTCACTTAGAATGACATTCTCCAGGAGCATCTGTGTTGCTGCAAATGGCATTATTTTATTATTTTTTATGGCTGAGTAGTATTCCATTGTGTATATATGCCACATCTTCTTTATCCAGTCATCTGTCCATGGACATTGGGGTTGTTTCTATGTCTTGGCTATTGTAAATAGTGCTGCTATGAACATTCGGGTGCAGGTGTCATCCTGAAGTAGGGTTCTTTCTGGATATATGCCCAGGAGCGGGATTTCTGGGTCATATGGTAAGTCTATTCCTAGTCTATTTTTAGATCAAATAAAGTAGATTTTTTTCTATTTCATTTATTTTAATAAGACTATACTTCTTCAGTTGACAGTCCCAAAAGAGAGGAAAAAAGTGACATTATGGCTGAATTTACCTCTCTTATGAAGTACTTCTTGATGATTATGGAGCCCCTCCTTAACTTCTGTGTGGTTTATTGTCCAGCCAAACACCTGACATTTACTGTTCATATTGTTAATTGTCTTTCTGTATACCATTGAGATTAAGAAAACAGACTCTGAAGCTACACAGGGTAGAGCCCAATAGCCTGGATTTCAAATTTGGCTCTGACATTTGCTAGCTTTTGATCATTGCTAGTTCCTTATTTTCCTCATTTGTAAAATGGGTCTGAAGACTAAATGAATTAATAATACATTTAGAGCATTAAATCAGTATTGGGCCTAGTTTGTTTTCATTCTTGAGATTTTATTGATGTACTTCATATCTGGGATCATTGCTTGATAATTGCCTAAAGTTGCTGCCCTCGTGGAATTTACAGACTACTGGTGAGTGGAGGAAAAGAAACAGACTATAGTATAACCTGATATGTTTAGTGAGGCAAAAGAATTGAGTAGTAGTAGACAAGGAAATTAAGGAATTCAGCCTAACAGTTTTTCTTGTTGTATGCACAGTTTGTTAGTAGGATTTACAGATTGTTGTCCATTCTGAGTGATTGGAATAATGTTAAGTGCCATTCCTGGGGTGGAAATTACCAACCAACCCCCACAGCAAGTATAGTAATCCTTCTCATCAGCT